TAGTGGAAGTATTTCAGTTTATTTATTTTAATTATGAATGATGCTACATGAACACGCAAATACGCATCAAACCATGTACTACTAAAGAAAACCTAGACAGGACACAGATGAAAACCCTAAAGCTGTAGAAAGTAGTCTCGGAATGTAAAAAAATACAGAGTTAGTGTGGACATCTTGGGTCTGCTTTCTTGGCAGTAGAGTACTAATTTTAACTCGTTTATGGTTTATATGACTCATTTAAGGTAATATTTTGTAGATTAAAGTTAATTTTAAGGAAAAATCGCCTAATAGAAAGAGCGAAGTAACTTAGTAAATTGTGCTTCTTTTAGTAGTCCATGATCGAACCAACGAAATTCCTAACAAATTATGACATTTTAATGGATTAGTGCTTAGTAGGTTCTTAGAAGATATTTGCTACAGTACGACATTAATTCATGCGAAAGTTATCATAGGACTTAATATTTGATTTAAAACATTTTGCAGCTAGTTCTAAATATATTGTGCTTACAATAATCATTCGAAAGGAATTTTATGATTGTTCATTATCTAAACTTCTAATGGTAATTGCTAAGGAAATCGAACTCTTCTCTCTAGCGGTAAAGAAGAAAACAGTGAGATAATTTACAGATCAATCCTAAATGCAGCTCAATAATTTAAATTCTAACTCGAAATCGTGCTTTGCGTTACACTAAAAATTTAAGTTTCAGAAATTTTTAACTCTAGATTGAGAGTTCAAACGTTTAAAAATCTGATATCAAATATACTTTAGAATTGGAACAATTTCATATGCATATACTCGTATAGCACGAAGAGCAAATATATTTACTGCTTTAAACTTTCGTAAATTTGAAGACGAGGGTAATACAATATAAATCATTATACTAGATTAGACTATAAGTGCTAAACATAAGTTCATGCTTAGGAACGGCGTCTATTTTCCTTTTACGGTTTTACTAACTACTCAGCTTTGAAGTCAAACCATTATTAAGTCCTTGCTTTTCCACACTGATAGAGTTTTAGTAGTGAAATACATAGAAGGGAATATTGCATCGTATAAGAAATCTCAGTCTAGCAAAGCCTTAAACTTTCCTTTGAACGAATATACCTAATCAGAAATCTTAACATGGTATAAAATATTGTATTATTTTAGATTCCACTTTAGGATGAATTACAGTAGAATGGGACGCAGTCAGGAATTAATCAAGTGTAGCAAAGAAAAATTAAGGAAAATGGCGAATAAAATTAAGACTCATATTTATCAGAATAAGTGTTGCAAACTCAGTAATCAATTTATCATAATGCTACAAAAGAGTAATTCGATTTTGAATGCAAAGATTAAAAGGTTTCGAAAACCTTTAAATTGATTAGAAATAGTAATGGTACTGCCTACTTGAAGAATCAACTAAACTTTAAAAAGGCGATAGTTTTCACGGCGCCTGCTTCAAAATTGGCAGTTGAATAGTTAATAGCTATAAACATAAAGGGTTCATTTTTTCGTAGCATATTAGATATATTAATTTTGTTAAATATCACCATTTAATTTTAGTAAGGAAATAAAGATAATTTAATGCCGTAAATAAAGACTCTTAAAATTGTAAGCTCGATTCTGTTATTTAGTATACTAATTGTCAAGTAGCTGGGTCTTGATAAATAGCACAGTGCATGCCCTCCACTATGTATTTGAAGTAATGAGCGAGTACAAGAACTTATCAAGCCAATATAATATTAGACTTCTGATCTAATATTCATAATCTGGTCAAGTAATATTGTCAAACTCACTTAATCAGACTTGTAAATTTTATAAATAAATATCATAAAGCAATCACAAAGATGTAGTGCTAAATACCTTCTAATTGTGTCGATATTACTGGGCATGAACTATACTTACATTCGTAGCTATTCATAGACGATATATACCCTGTATACTTTACAAGAATTGTAGAATAAGTGTCGTGCTAATAAATAATCTATAACCTCACCTTTTGCAGTACGTTTCAAGTTTTAAAGTATTTGGCACATTATCAGCTCACAATACGTGCTCGGAATGATCTCATCTCCTGATTATGCGATATCGTCGAGGATAGTAAACCTAAAATCTAAATATTATCTTACTCATCAATGGAGAAAAATAATGTGCAATACTATAAACAATAGTTACCGTGCATTAGTTAAGCAACAACCACATCTATGACTTCGCAGGCAATAAGTATTCTTGTTCTTTTAAGTCAGCAGTTAATTAGAACGGTAGATTGACCATAGTAGGCCAACTTCTCCACTCACTACTACGCATCGCCGTTTATGATTACGGTATTTCATCTACTATCAGCATCTAACAAAACTAATAGTATCAAAGTCGTAAGATAATATGATTTAACACGTGAATAAGTAGCTTATTATGCCGTTCATCAGCTGCTAGCTTTGCCGGCCTCTAAAGAACCGTCATGTTACGTTGCCATCTGTCACAAAACAGCTTTCGTGAACGTACCTAAACTAGTCTATCTAAGGTTCCCCGACTAACTCCGGAGATCCTCAGTAAAGGAAAACTAACTTATTCCTATACCATAGACAACGAGTCCAACGATAGGTTTAGGTTATTAAATATTTTATTACCAGCTATTGCAACTTAGTACCAGTGTACTCTTTTGTAGCCTTCGTGGAACTCAGATTAAAAAGTAATGATCAAGCTTATATACAGTTTCATATATCACACAAATAAGATCGGTACTAATCTTTCACGTTAAATTATAGAATGTGCAATACAGATCCATACAGGCTTACTATAGATTCAACTAGCTCGAGTGTTACTTATCACTTATCACAAATCAATATATATCCACGCTGTATATTACTAGGATAATTAATAACAAAACTCAATTAACAACTAGGTTGTTGCCGAGATCGGCAACCTCCATAATAATATTATTACACATTTTAGATCAAAATATTATTCATTTCGGAGCGAGCTCCGTCACACCATCATTACATCTCACTATTGTAAAGATGCTCGTGTAGTAAAAAGCGTTGCAAAAATAACCGATATTAGATTATATCGGCTGAATTTCTTTTAGTTAAGCAGTCTAAGGTTCGAAATCACCAACCATAGTGATCATCGTATTTGTATTGAAGTCTGCATAATATCGTCAATTTCAAGCAACCTTACCGATAGTAGAGTTACTCATTATGAGCAGAAATAGCTATATTGGCTTTGAATCTATCATGCAATCACAGCTTTCGCTATTTGCCGTTAGATTTTTTAGTCTAATTGAAGTAATTTTAAGCACGGATGGAAAGGATTTTATTCTAGAATAACTGATCTTATTGTAATAGAAGGCGGATAGTGCCGCTTTTTATAAGTGAGTTTGTAGTAAAGGACTAAAAGTAGAGTCCTTTATAGCTTTTAGTATGTAACTAGTACTATTTTACTATAGAAAATACCTAGAAAGTGATAGTGTCTTTAAGTTTTACCCTGCCAAATCATCATGTCGCCATCTTTTTCTTCTTCATTATTTTACAAGGTATTATATAGATTACTATAGAAGTAGCCCTAGAGCAAATGCCTAATCTAAAGAAAGGGCATTTGATCGTCTATTCAAATTGTAAAGGAATTTAACTTAGTAGCAAAACCCTATCCTTAGAGAAAGGGGATTTATAACATGACGATAAAGTACTGTAATGTAGTCTATAATCGTACAGTTACAGTACAATCTGACGCTAAAACATCAACTGTCAATACTCGCGAATACTAAGCGATACTAATGTCAGAAAAGTAGTGGTAATAGTCATATAAATTTTTTTGGATTTTTGTAAAGATTACAATACTTTACTACAAATGATAGTGCAATTAGAAAATTTAGGGAGAGAGTAGAAGAAGATTTTATTTGAAGAACTTGTTGAATTTAAAAGGCCTTCGGGGTCGAATTGTCGTAAGTTAGAACGTTCTTCTTTTTGAAAGGTTGTTTGGTCGATGACAGTTTTTAAGTCAATCATTTATTTTAATAATACTTAAAGCTAAGTATTTGTAAGGTTGTTCGGTTTATACTTCTCTCCATTCTTGTTTTGTAATAAATTGTTGTTCGGTTATTTCCCCAAATTTTATTTGGTGTCAAAGTATTAGCGTTAAGTCGACCGGAGTGCAACGAAAGTAGAATCAAAGTTTGTTAAAGTTTTGTAGCTTGATCTCTACACTTTTCATTTCATTATAAGTTTAATGATCTTTTTGGAAATAATTGCCTTAATAAGTCAGTTTCGTGACAATTCTACAAAAATAGAATATGCTTCTAATGAATTTTAGGAAATAGACCCGAAGAATATTTTCTATCGTCGTAATGGATTATTATCTACGGTTACTTTATTAAACACAAACGATTACTTCACGTTCAATATTGCTTTGTTTAATATTATGATTACATTCTTAGATCACGTTATTGCTAGAATTAGTTTTAATTACAGCAGTCTACTTTATTACTTACACATTATTTATTACGATTAAGTCAAAATTCAATGTATATTCCACATAATTTACAGTATTTTCGCTAGTAAATAGATCTATCACCGAAAATGCCATGCAGTCCACAAACTGTATCTTTTAAGAAAGTTTTATGCTCCAAATTTCATAGTAACCAAATTACGAATCAATTACAAAGCAGCTTTGCAACAAAATAACTTAGCGTACGATCAATAAGTCGATTCCCTGAACCACGTATTAGCGAGCAATATCTATTCAATCGTGAACACTTTCCCTCTACAGCAGACAACATAAAGACCTAAACACCTTGCATTTTATATCAAACACTAACCTTAAGAATTAATTTTATTATACGGTATACTGCATTTAATACTCTTCTACAATATTTCAGGCATTCTAGTTCGTAATATTAACTTTGAAGCCTTCCAATAAATCAAAGACAAATTTTAACTACTGCTACCTAATGAAAGCAACAGTATTTATGAACATAGATATCTAACGACTAATGCAAATAATCAGATTACAATATATACTATCACGGAACATTTCCACGATAATCTACAATCTACCATAAGTAAGTTATAAACAAAGTTATCCTAACATAGATATTTCCACTCTAATCTCGATAATACAGTGTATAACAAAATAACAGAATGATAATTAATATAAACTAGTCAAGTTTCCGTTCAGATGAACGGATAATATTCTACACAGCCAGATTATTCCTTACTACAAGCTATCGCTTTAATTGAAGAGTCTAAATCAAATTAAATTATTGAATGTAATTTGTTCAAATTGCTCTTAATCTTGCACAAATTGGTATAATCCGCGACCAGCTGACAATTCGGATAATATAACTTATGGTCCAGTCTTCTATGATCTTGTTATTCGCTTGTGTAGTAAAAATCTACTTCATTCGATGTAATTTTGCTACCTCTTTGTGCTAAATGTACCTTAGCCCTTACTTTTTTTAGTTCTGGTAAAGAATTCCCCCACGAATCAGAAGAGCATTCATAAATTGGCATTCGAAATATTAAACAGCCCTATTCAGGAATAGTGGATTAAGCAAAGTTGAGATGATATCAAACTCGATAATATCAATGAAAGTTCACGAAAATAGATTTGAAATATTAAAGCAAAAAGGATTATAAATGTCATATTCGCAGAGACAAGGATTATTTATTTAATCAAAAGCAAAAAAATTCTGAGATAACAAAACAGTAGTGCAGGCAGTACTAAACATTACGTTACCGCGTCAGGTATCGACTGAATTGACGAATCTTGCCATGTAATAATATGTTCTATATCGATTTTAAATTCTTGAGGTATATTATCAAGTTGTCGCTCTTCTATTTATTAATATCATCTTGAAATCAGTAATCAATCGGCAAAAACATAATTTATGAAATGATTTCCATTTATAGATCAATAAGCATTATTAGCTCTTTGTATCTTGAAATATTAAGATGTTAATAAAATTAGCATAAAATCAATACGAATATTAATTACCTGAAATATACTTAATCATAATATCGTACGGCCCAATATCAAGTCCTATCAACTCTTTTATTGTGATCATAACTTCGCAGCTTTTAGATATAAGACCGGTATTGGGACAAATATCGTTTATGACAAATCGGGGACTGTCTATCAGTAAGTCATTTTGTATGTCGATGTTGATCATATTAATAAGATATATTTTAATAAATAGTCACATTACATAGAAATATTGCTGCTATCATAATCTAAGTTTTAAAATAAGCTTTTCATACCATTTCGTATTAAAGGTTTTGTTTTTATATAACTCAAAAGATGTCTGATGGAATAAAATTCCTCTATACGGCCAGGATAGACAAAGAAACACAATCTAAATTTTTGGTATTGCATATCGTTCTCGTTACCGGTTTGCCTCACAACAAAATTTTTTAATAATTCATCATCTATAAGCAGGAGATTGAATAAACGATATGTTTATCAGTTATTTACTCTACTAAATTAGTTTAATTATTTAGGTAGACTTTCGAGTATAGTAATGTAATTTATTTGTTAAAATTGAGGATATAAAATTGAACACGGTTTTGTAATTACCACTAATTTCAGGATTGACCACCATAAATTTTGATTCCAGATATGGTCTTAACCCGATACCTAAAATGAACTTAGATAGTAAATTGGTCTTTTCTGCGATACTATCTGGCAGCCACTTCTCATCATGATTTTTAGGTTTCCTTGAATGGATTCGAACGAAAGCTATGTTACCGAATCTAGCATTGGAAAGATGCATAATTAGCTTTTTTTATTGTTAGGGCTTCGTAATAAAGTCAATTTTATAAGAAAACGTGAATATAAATATGTATTAGTTTGAGAGAAAGTGTAGAAGGAAATGTCAGTAGGTCAATCTGAACAAAATTCAATTTTTTCGAAAATTTATGAAAATAATAATAGGCTATAAGTATCGCCTCGATAGTGCAATCTCTAATCATTGATATGATCACCTAAAACTCGTAATTGATCTATTCGCAAAAGAGTATTCTTAATACTTAGTACCCTTATTCATTTCTGTTGATGCTGCATTGTAATGTAACTTAGTATTGTGATTGTAGACTGTTAGCCATGTGTAGTATAATGTACGGTAGATATTTATCCTAAGAGATATTTGGTAGCTGTAACTATAGACTGTAGTGGTAGAGACTCTATGCTAGAGCACAGATGACTATATACAGTAAGCTGTTGAGTTACTAATATGGCTGTAGGTAAAAATAGAGCTGTAAGTCATATATTAGATTAATGATGGTCCGCAGTAGAATAGTCTTACTAAGAATAATTTAACTATGTGTAAAATAAGGTAAAAGGTTGCCATGCGGATTGTAGCTGCGAATGCTACGAAAAGTATAAAAGCATGCAACTTTAGATTATTCTGTTAGTTCGTTGTAGAAGTCTTTAGAAGTAGTATTCGGCTAGAGTAGAGCTGTGTAGTTAATCTTTGTATAAGATTCAATAAAGCCCTTATTTTTCTAAAAATTGGAAATTCGTGATTGGTATATATCACATGCATATATATATAGGCTAATTTTAATTACTCGTAATCGATATTATGATTTCCATCCACTTCAAATTGTCTAATAAGAGCATGTACAGGAGCCTTGGAATTAGAAGTTATTGGCATCATCCGGCCGTCCTCATTTAAGGTGAAAACGCTTTGGTCATTTTCTAGGCCACCAACAACAATAAGTTTATTAGGATGGGGCGAAGGAAATCTCTCCTCTGTACTCGCTATAGGCATAGCAATAACGACAGCAGGACCCCTATAATTTGAAAACTATTAGAAGAGCTAATAAGGCAAAAGTTAAACCATCAATTCTAACTGTACCATCTGTGATCTAATAGTAGAATTGGATTCATTCTTCAAAATGTGTAGGAATATTTTTGAAATTTTGTCTTTTTGCAATAATTGGCACAATCAATGAGGCGTAGTAAATATTCTAATGAAATAGTATCACTGGCAAATACACGGAGGGATAGTAGCGTATTACCTATAAAATCTTATTCGATGTGATTATTAGTGGCAGCGTACATAATAAAGGCTTGATATACTTATAATCTAATCAAGCAATAACAAATACTTACATTTTGTATAACTGAGACTACTTCTCTATTAAGTCATAATTAAGGTATTGAACGATATTATTTCCAAAAATGATACAAGTAAAATAGAGAAAGTTCTCACCGCAGTTTGACAAATTGCTAATGAGAACAACTACAATAACAATTTACGAAAACTTAAAAAGCAGAAATTGTATGACTTTAATTCACCAATTATACTGGACTAAGTTAAGCTTCTAATACAGAGTAACGGTATAGAAATTCGATTGATACTGCGATAGCTCGATGGGCAATCTTTTATGAAATATGGACATAGTATGTTACTGCTATACATAATTCGATTTAGAACGTTTGGCAAAATGATGCAGCGTACCCGGAGTATTGGCGGATCTCTCATTGGACCGTGTGTGGTGCGTTTAATTTCTAACCAATAGCGTGGCCTTTGAATAGTCTAGTAGTAAAAATATTAAAACAAATTATACGTAATGTTGTAAGCTGCAGTCCGCCAGCAATGCGACGGATAATAAAATTTAGTATAAATTATATAAGATAGTCAGCCTAATTGCAGTATCGTTCCATTCAAGACTAATTGGAACTATAAGCTATAACAATTGATCACGATAAAATTTTTTTGTACAAATATAATATTTCTACCTTCAATACCTTAGAACTTAACCGTTGATATATGAGCTACCATTCGTTTATAATACTCAAAACGGCGTTAAGATTAAAAGTACAGCTTTAAAACTGAAATGAAAAATCTTCGCGGAATAACTCAAAATAAGATAGACGCACGCTCTATTATCAGTTTATGAGTTATTCATTCACATTAAGAACTAATGTAAAACAAAATGGTTTCATTCTATAATAGGTTGAGGAATATTTATTGACGAAGTATTCAGAGAACTGCGGCTTGTGGCTAATTTGCTACCTATGTAGTGGAGACCAGCTGACAACACCGATTCGAAATGTTCCTTAGTTTTAATATGATTTAGTATGCTATGGAAAACTTACCCCGGGTTCCTTGATAATAATCACCGAAATAGGTTGCTTAGAATTCATTTTATGAAGAAATGTTTCTGACAAGATTTCTAAACATAGAGTTTAGGGTACTGTAGAGATCATGTTATACTAGATTAGTACTTCTATCTCTGCGCCTCATGCCAACGAAAATGAGCCTCACCCTTCACGTCGAAAACCTTTATACTCTCAATAAAGGTGCATTTAGTTGCCCCCCCCCCAAAGTGGCTCTGATAACTACTATACTATTCCATGCATACGATAAATTTTATACGTATACATTAAATAAATTTCAATTACTAAGATAAAACAAAAACCTAGTAAATAAACAATTACTCGAAATAATTATAACTAAATCAGGGGGAAATAACAGCTTATTTAAATTTTATCAAATACCTTAGTATTTCAATTAAATGAATAATAGTAAGGTCAGAATTGCTACCTCAACCAACCAAAAGATCCAAAAAAATTACTGCTACTAACTTGAGCTTCTTAATAATTGCTAGCTGGAACTGAAACTTGAACTACGCCAACTTTTACATACCATCTAAAATAATCGCTGGTATCAGACTATCAAATTCCTATTCTAAAGTATCCTAAATGAAACTAGCAACTAAACATATATGATCAAATAATTTGTACCATAGATTCCCAACATTACTAACTGTAAATTAATAAAAATTATAATTTGACTACGAATTGTGCTTTTCTACGTTATGTAGTATATAACTGTCTCAAACGTAACTTGCAAACTACTACCCTAAACTAATAGATTACTTATTCCTATCTCCACTACACCTGGAGGTCTACATTGTGGTAGTCCTATACTGCTTATGGTCATATAAGGATAAGACTGTTCTAAGAGTTTAGTATAGCTTTATCAATGGAGTAGCCGAAAGGCTATCCAATCACGAACTAAGGAGCTGAGCATTCGCTCCTCCTTTGATAACCTACCACTAAACTTGTAGTGCACACTCAGTAAATTTAGCAACATAACCTTTACATCGTTCGTATACTGTACTCCTACAATTAGCTGAAATCATTACATATTATTAAGCTAGTTATTTTTCTAACCAACAAATTGTGACAGCAGAAAGGATTTAATATTATTAAATGAGTAATGAATGAGTGCTTGATTTTTTAAGCTCTGAATATTATTTTATTTAAGCATACATCATTTCCCCATAATTATTAATAAATATCCCAGTTTAAATATTGATATAACTATGGTAGGGTCTAAAATTTATTTTATTGGTAAATAACGATAATTGGCCGTCAGTTGTAGTTATTGTTCTCTACATTATTGAATTCTATTAATAAATATACGTTTGTAGTGTACTTTAAATTAGAGATAAGTTATAGTTGTTTGCTGATAGCGTACAATATTGAATTACTATTGAGAAATTTTAAGGTACGTGGCGTAATAAGATGCCGGTGCGGTTGGTGCTCAATTCAAATCGTACATGTAATATCGTTATTTTCTCTTCTTGAGCAGGTGGCATAAATGAATAGTACTCAGTGAGAAGGTAACTAAAGGTTTATTAGCTTAATTTGCATACGGAGTTAACAAGAATGACTGATAGTGAGGTATATAAGATTATTGGAATTCTTGATTAATAGATTGATTGATCAACAAAGTAATACGCGTATTATAAATACAAATAAATAATAGTACTATCGTGGTGTACTATTCTATGGTTTATGGTATCGACTCCTTCTAAGCATGACGTTATGCTACAAGAATTGCGAAATAAGTACGTTGCAATTATAAAATACTGTACTTAGTGCAATGTGCTACAATGAATTGTATTGTCGACAAAATGCAAACCCGATTGCTCAAAATTACGTTAAAGCCAACCTAATCTTATCAAAACGCACAATAAGTAAAAGTATTATCATTTCAATTTAACGTCTTTACATCTTTATCTTACCATTGTGCAAAGAATAAGTAGCTAGTACCCAAAATTCTAAATTACATACGTCAAAATAGTTCTATCAACAATTTCGCTATTCATTAAGAAGCGCTCAATTTCAGGTTAGTAGCAGCAGTAGTTGCTAGTTATCCTATCCTATTGCTTTAAGGTTGACATAAAAACGATTATTTCAAAGCAATTTTATAGATGACTAACTATATTTCATGGCTATAGTCAACAGAATTTTACTATACTATCCAGTCCGCTGGCAAGATCACTATCCTTCAATCTGTATACATAAAGTTCATTGTATTCTTAATATAATTTGATAAACAAATAAAAATAGAGCCAACTTATACGCTAACATTAGCAGATATTTCTTATGAATTAAGGCAGCTGGTGTTGACCTATATAGGTTTTTTAAATAATTATATAATTGAAACTGTTCCAAATGAGAATATCACTGCGCTTTGCACAATGTTCGTTCACAGCGGCATAGCAATTTATGGGAATCTTGTATTTTATTTCAAATCGTGCTAATAGTATACATTTCATTTAGTTTTTATGTGTAACAGTGATAGAAGGCTATCTAAATATTTGAAATAGTCAAATAAAGACGTTGCTTTATGTCTACAAGATTTCATATCGTTTCATACTACCATTACTACGATAATGTTTTTGTTCCAAACAATATGGTTTAAATATAAAATCGACGGTAGCATTCAAGTCATGGTTCCAATTTGTTCCATTATTTATAAGAGGTCAGTCAATCGAATTCATACTTAACTTATGGGGTTTACCTAATGTACATACAGGCTCTGTATTGTTAACGCATGGATTCATAATCAATTTAAATAATGACTTTGATAAAGCTGCGGTGTTATACTATAGTTAAATGGATAAAAATCAGTCACAGATAATGTAAGAAATGGTTAATGGTATATAGTATATAAATGATAGCCGTAGACAATAGTTCATAATAAAAAATTTTCGATTCCGGCACCATTTGAGAAGTAATAAACCGATGATCTAATAATGCAATACTGTAGCGTGAGCCTGAAATAATAATTGTAAGCATTTGTGGAGTCGATTTGGAAAAGATTTTTCTTCTATATGCGTGCCTACGTTATTCATGGAAATTAGATTCATTACTTCTGATAATTTACAATACTTTCGCTTTTAAGTTGTAATATCATTTACGATACTAAGTACTGCAAAAATAATGCAATTTATTATCTTTTAGCATTAATCAATTAGTTTAAATTAATTTAATCAATAATAACATATAACCTACTGATGGTACAAATAACCGACCTTGCATTCTTGCACGTATGATCTCGCAATCAACTGCGGTAGTAAAACTCTTTTCCTTCCGAGATATTTCTTGAACCTTTTCGTGATAAATGTACTGTCGTCATTACTTCAATTGGATATGACTGAGGAACTTGGTTCTGATCATAACTTATATAAGGAGGCATTTCAAACACTAGACAGCGCTGTGCAAGATTAATCAAATCGAAAAATTGAAGATTAACAATTTTATAGAGAAATGAGCATAATGTCGAATTGGATGGCACTAGCTGAAGTAAATGCAACACAAGCTTAATATATTGAAGCAATAACTATTTCAAAGCCCATTCTGGTAGCTTTAAGGAATATCAACTGATAAAAACTTGAAAAAAGTAAAATAATATTATTAAAAGAACTAAAATGGCTCAGACAATACTGTTACATTACCGCGTCTGCAATGAACTGAACATAGCTTCTAGCTTCGCTTCTTCCTAAGGGTACCGGATATTCTCGGTATATACCAGTACTGATATCTGTTCGCAGTTCTATTTATTACCATGAAGGTAGCAATCGAATGCTTATAATATAATTTATAAAACGATTCTTGTTGATTATAAATAGCTCAAAATCTAGCGTTTACAGATTTGAGGTTTCAAGATGTCAATTGCAATTATAAAAATCAATTTTAATATTAATTACCGTGATGATAGTTAATAATGATATCATAATTGGCCATATCAAGTCCTTTTGCATCGTTAGCTGTGATCATAATTTCGCAACCTTGAGACATTAGACAAGATTCAGGACAAATATCACATATGAAAAGTTGAGGACTTCCTAACGTGGATGCATTTAAAATCTTCATGTTAATCATGTGGAAAATGCATAGGTCAGTAATTTCTTCATATGAAAATGGGCATATTATGGTCGTGGTAATATATGAATCTAAGTTATTCATCATAAGCTTGACATACGTTCTTGAATAAGTGGTTTTGTTGCTATAAATTTTGGAGGACCTCTATTACTATTAAAATCCTCTAAACGGCCAGGATAGGCAAAGAAACCCAATTTAAATATATGGATTTGAGAATTAGTCTCCGTTCGTTTTTTGATAAAATTTTCTAACAATTGTACATCTACGTGCAGGATACAAAGCAACAGACTTAGCAATTATTTATTAATCCAGTTTTACTAGAATGTTCAATCAGATATCAGAAACAATATAGTAAAATTTAAGACAAGTTCAATTGCAGCTTCGATTTTACCATTAATTTCAGAATTAGACTGCCCAAACTGAAGTTCCGGCAGATACTGCCAATGATCCTGGCGCAGAATATAACGGTATAGGAGTATAGTTTTCTCCCTTATACTCTCTGCTAGTTCATCCTTTCTGGTTCGAATGAAGCCTATACTACGGAATCTAGGTATGAAAAGACATGAATCATTAAGTTGATTGCATTTCAAGAACTTATTGCTTAATTTATTAACTCAGCATCGAATTTCCAAAAAATATAGTATAATTCTTAATACATCTCATTTGTAGAGAAAGTAAAATTACAAGATTCTGTACACAAAATAAGCCTTATTGTATTTTAAGTTTTTAGAAATTATTAATTATTTCGTGATATCAACTAACTGCTGTAAATCTGCCACTATTGATACGAGTATACCGTACAAAACCTGCAAAATCTATCTGTTCAAGTAGTAGTATTGAAAGTTTGAAACATCATTCTTAATTCGTAATAAAGCTATTGATAGTAATATATAAATAGCTTAAATTACCCGCAACTGAAGTCATAATTTTCAATAACTTCAAATTGTTTAATAGCCACTTGCATAGGGCTTTTATCAACCGAAGAAATTGGTACTATTTCGCCATTCCTGTTGAGCGTATGATAGGACTGGTCAATTTCTCTGCCAATAGTAATGAGTTTATAGGGATGAGGCCCATTGTCATTCGCCAATACCATTGCTAAAACGACAACAGGGCCCCTATAACCCGGAAACTATTATAAAAGATTGATTAAGCTGAATTTAGAAAGTAAAATCTAAACGCAAGCACAATTACGTAGATTTAATTGTCGTGTGTAATTAAAGGTAATTTTCAGAATTTTTCTTTCAGATTTCATTTCGTGTAAATATTATAGCTTTAAAAATAACTAAATGAGTTCGATTACAGTAAATTTAGTATCATAGCATCTGACTACTCATCCGGTTATGATATAGCAATGTTTGATTGTGAAATATTTGTTAAGTGCTGTACATTCTAAAATTCTAATTTAATAGCCAATGTTTCTAAGTAGAATTAAATTTAAACTTCAATTATGATAAAATTTGTTACTAGTTTTCACTATAAAATACAGTAGAATCTATATTTCTTTATCATAGAGTACAACATAAATCCATAAGTTTTGATCTAGGTTCTAATTTAAGATTGCTAGTCTCTCGTAGAATTTTTACTGTTCGCTGTTGGCACAAAGCTGTTTCGTAATAAGGATTATGTAAAAAAATCTCAAAATTTCTAAATTCTCTGGGATTCAGTATGCCTTAACTACTCATAAGAAAGTAGGCGCCTTTGCTTCTGCGTTCATGTCACAAAACAGCTTTGCAACAAGATAACGTAATATACGATCAATAAGTCAACTCCTTGAGCCACGTATCAAGGAACGATATCTGCATTATCACAAGTACTTTTGCTCTACTAGCAGACTACACAAAGACTTAAACGCCTCGTATTTTACGTTAAACACTAAGTTTGAGAATCCACTTTAATTCACGATATACTGCATTTATATACTATTCCTCAATAGTTCATGAGTCATAGTTAATACAATTAACTTCGGAATCATTTACTGAATTAGATATTAAGTTTAGCTACTGCTCCCTTAATGCAGACAACAGTATTTACCAACATAGACATGTAATGACTAATACAGAATAGTCAGATTACGATATGTCCTATCACGGAACATTTCCATGATAATTTACAATCTACCATAAGTAAATTACAATCACAATGATTCGAACTGTAAGTAGATGATTTGCATTCCCTATTATAACTATTAATTTCAGTATGTGTATAAGTGTCACTGTCATAAAAAGTCAGTGCTATATTAAAACATAGTATATCCAAATTAGAAGTTAACTAAATAAGGATAGTCTAACAGAATTATCCTAACATAGATATTTCCACTGTAATACGGTATTTAACACTATAACAGTTCAATAACTAGAGAACTGATTTTATTTAACTATCTGCCGAGCTTATATACCTTCCGGTAGCAGCTAGCAATGATGAATCATCTACAGATTCTAACGGTTACATCTAGCTTAATAGCTAAATTAAGACAGAGAAATTTATAGTTCAGAATATCTATTAACTAATTATAAATGACTAGACTAAAGTATATCCAATTAGAGAATCATTTACACTATCATCTATAATTATATAATTGTTTATCGTTAAAATTATAATCACTAGTGCAAACTCCCGTCGCTTTGCTGACGGTTTACGATAATGTGCTCATTTAACAGATAGTATTACCATTTGATAGACCTGTCAGAGGTTCAGTAACTTTTTACCGTGTATCCGTGTACTGTATGCTGTACAAAAGTACTGTACTTTGTAGAATACTACTTTTCAATAATACATTCACGGATGAAACCTTATTACAGTCTTTGATAGTAATTCGGCAATTATAATATCTGCTCTACACTGTACATATCCTAATGTGAAGAATAATGCTACTGGACAGATTAAAATTATATTAACCATTGCTGAGTAGTAATATTATGATTGAACACTCATTTGCTAGTTTACTTTGCATAATTTGACAACATTTTATTAACATCCGATAACTCTATAATGCTGATTAGAATATTATTGATGTATTGCAAAATTCACTAAGTTTTGACATAGAATTCTTTACGGTACTTCGTACTGTGACAGCTGTATGCAGTAAATAGACGTAATTGATAGTTAAACCATGTTGGTTGCGCGTTTAGGTCTGAGTTCTCACAATTTCATTCGTATGTTGTACTGTATCATATCCCATATTGCCGTATATGCACAAAAAATATCAAGGGAGATTGTAGGCATTTCCTCCTTTAATATACAACTAGTACAAACTCACGTCGCTTTGCTGACGGTTTACGAAAATGTACCCATTTGTTAATAATTAACAGATAGTATTACCATTCGACATTATGTATATCCCGTTAATAGCCAGGGACTACTATATCACAGTTATGCTTCCAGAATACTACTTTTCAATAATGCTTTCACCGATGAAATGCTATATTAAGATTAGTTAATTGTCCAAAGCACATTATGATAATTAATGTACTGCCCGTTGATGGACAAACCAAGTTAAGATTAGCAGGTACTGTAAGATATCTACTGTGCGGTACAATGTCCTTAGTACTGTGGTCAATTCTATACCAATCATTATAACGTGTCTAAGGATCGCTTGCTCTGTCAATAACAACCGTTATAAGAAAATGTAACAGTCAAAATGGCCGTGTAGAAAACTCTATAAAGATTCTATGTTTATTCAATTTTCATCTGAATATTACATCAAATCAGAATTGAAAGGCCCAGTGGTCACCCTTAGTGATATAACGAATACTATTTTAAAAATCAGTACTCAGCAGAAATTACTACCTTAGAGCTATTCGTTTTATATGAAGAAATCTTGAGGTAAAAAGTACTGTAAGAATCTTATACACTGACTTATTGAAATGAACCCATAATCACAGTCGGCTAAAAGTAGTATAAATACCCCCGCGCTGCTCGTTTTGGTGGTTGGGTGGGATTCAATTGATTGAGGATTATCATAAATTTAGTAAGTTTGAGAATCTAGGGCAGGTTTTATCTTAGCACATCGAATCAATTAATAGTCTAATTTAGAATACCTTAGAGTGATAAACCGAAGTCTAATACCACTAACTGCTCTACCTAGTATGCAAGGGACGATGTAGTTAAGTAGTAGAATAAATCAATTAGCAGTAGGATAATTTTAAGTCGTTCGTAAATCTCATTTCGATAGCTTGATTGGTCTAGACGGTAAACGTTACGTACTGTAGCGAACTTAGAATGAAATTATGTATTTAATGAGTCGAATAGATGCAAATTTTACTAATATTTTTGATTCTTATAAGCAAATGTAAACTGTAGAATTATTTCAGGCATACTGATTCTCATCCAATCTATTCCAGGTACGTAAATATGCTGCATTGATTGCTTCAGGAGATTTTTAATAACCAGCTCCAGAGTCAAGTAAATCGATATACTACCATAAGGTAGAAAAATTTTACATGAGTACAGATAAGATTTGCATTTCGCTCACCATATGTATAGGACGAGCATAAAGATAGGTATTTATGTTATTTGAGTATAAATATTATTGACTTTGAAAATGAAGAGAGATAGCTTTGCAGTCTTGACAGAGAGCACTATTATACTGTATGTGCTAGATGACTAATTCAGGCCCTCAATAAGGCCCACGTTAAGATTGCACTTTTGATTTCAGTAAAAGACTCAGTATCAGCATAGATTAGTCAGATCTGTCTAAACGATAAGGAATCACACCTCTGTTTTCCCTCTTGCTATTTTAACTTAATTAAAATTTATAGCAGGGAAATATCCAAAAAAATTCGTATACCATGATACTAAAATAAGCCAGCGAAAGAGATTATCATGTAATTTGATCATGCCCATCAGGATAGCTTAAGTAAAAATCTTTATGAATATGTTGCAATACATAGTAGTAGAAATGAAAACTATGACTTTAACACACTAATTGATATTAAAATTACAACAATTTGAACTGCTTCTACCGTAAAACAGCAAATAAAGTATAACAACATACATAATGTAATAGAAATAATGTGTGGTACCTGGATAATTGGCGTGCCTTTAATGGGACCATGTGTGGCATTTGCAACTTCCGTGCTATAGCGTGGTCTTTGGATAATCTATAGTAGATAAAAATAACGCGAATTTTATATGAAAAACAGAGTTGTCATATTTTGCAATTGTTAATAACTTTCTTTATTTCATAAAAATATGGAGTTGTAAGTATTCACCTTAAAAATCTATTTTACACTGATGTACTTGTCTTTACTATCAAGAAGCTGCTATTGCTTCAGTTACATTAAAAAAGTAACCTTATAAAATAAAATTTATTACTTACCCACGGTTCTTTAACTATGGATATTTCAAAATTCTGCAAGTTGTTCATTACCTTTTATTACGGTACGTAGTCTATCGTTTTTGACAAAAATAAATCTAAATCTAGATATCGTACAAGCAGTATATAAAATAATATCAAAATTAGTCTAATATTTGATTTATCGATGGCAATGTAAACGAGAAAATTATAGATGTGTGGTCATTTATAGGATATGTCTAATTCCACAATAATTAGTTCACTTAGTTAAAAGTGCCCCCTCCGACTATAATTTACATATATTGATGAGTTATTTACATTAGACCTGACGGATCAGCGATATTGCAGTATTTCTTCTTTTTGCTCACTGATGAATAATACTGTTTATGAACTTATATAATAGTAATTTACCTTTAGCTAATTTATGTGAGTAATTTTATTTACGTATATATTCATGAAAATCTTCTTCCCCATTTTGAATAAGGTAAGCACATATAAAAACAGAGATACTCACACGTTCTTTGACTAGAAATTAAGGAAAATAATACATTTTCTGTGCTTTAATATGTTGCTACCAATTTTGCATTTTAGAACCTTTTTTCTTGGCTTTTACAAAATTTAAGTTTCATTGTAGTTATTTTAGTCCAAAACGATATGGCTGATAAGTTTCTGCATTAATCTCATTAAAATAAATAAACTAACTTAATTGGGTTTAGATCATTATGCTTCTAGTCCATCTCTTTTACCTTCCAAAAAGTGCTGAGGCGTAAGCTATGATTCATATATTCATCTCTGACAAATTCGATACATTTTTGCTTACATATCCACGTATATTTCGTATTACGTCATTGATGCATTTATGACTACAATGCATAACACGGTATACGAGATAGTACGAAAAAATATTTTAAAATTTTAAAAATTAAAACGCAAAGGTAGTGTGGTTGTTACCGTCCAAGTACGAAATCCAGCCAATTCGCGAAATGCCTAGTTAATTTGCGAAATGCCCAAATATATTTCTTTGCTGATTATGTGAATTCGCTTGCGAAATTTGTGGCTATTGAAGAAATTTGCGACATTCTAAGCAGTATCTAGCTCATAATAATAGCAAATTGGTTATTGCTCAGCTGCTAGATAACATACTGCTGATACGATTAGAGTACATATATAAGTTAATTATTTGTAAAATTAGTAATGGAAGAAATATAGGCTGTAATTTTAAGCCAAGATAGTTCGCTTTGAATATTATATAATTATATCAGATAGGAAATGTCCATATGCTTGTTACAACATTTGTATTAACTAAGTTAATTGAACCAGTGTACTGTAATCATAATTAAATCAGTAGCAAGAAAACTGTTTCATAATTACTTTTCTATATACAGTATATTGGTACTTTCTGAATACCGGTACAATCTATAGAAAAGTTTAAGATATAATAATTTTAATTTCAGTAATAAGAGCTTTACCTAAAGGATGATATTATGCCTACAGGAGAGACTGGAATTTAAAGACGCCAGTTAACTCTGATGATAACGCGAAAGATACATTAATGTTAGTCAAACACGAGCATAAAGTAGCTTGGCGGCTGTTGAAATTGATTATTCCGAAAAATATTTCTTTCCCACTTTTTAAGTTTAATTCGTTTTATAGCTGGCACATAACTACCTCTACCACCCTATATAAATTTCTATGATGTAAATCTTACTTATTTATGACCCAGAAGTCTCAATAGTAATAGATAAAATGT